ATATAACTATACCATAAGGACTATACTATTGGGAACTATTTGTATTTAACAGTATAAAGGAGGTGAATAGGAACAAAGCTGTATTGCAGTAAGAAAATGACACTAGATTGTATCATAGGAACCATAGAGAACAAAAATGGTAAATAAGACTTACAACAAATACTAAAAACATGTTCTCCCCCCCCCTTTCAACTTCCTGGATTTATACCATGTAAATGCAGTATAATAATAGTACCAAAGCAGAAGAGGGAATGGAGCATTTTAAGACCAATGTTTCTATATCACACTGGATTTAGTATAAATCTAAAGTGATTAGTAAGATGCATATGACAAGCCCTAGAGTAACAACTTAAAAAAAAAAAAAAACCCAAAGTGGGAGCAGGGTGTGATGGTGCATGCCTGTAATCCCAGCAGCTTGGGAGGCTGAGACAAGAGGATCCTGAGTTCAAAGCCAGCCTCAGCCAAAGCAAGGCACTAAGCAACTCAGTGAGACCCTGTCTCTAAATAAAATACAAAATAGGGCTGGGGATGTAGCTCAGTGGTTGAGTGCACCTGAGTTCAATCCCTGGTATCCCCCCAACCAACCAACCAGCCAACCACACAAACAAAAACAAAACAAAACAAAACAAAAACAAAAAACAAACAAACAAATCATAATGAGATACCACTTCTTACCCAATGGGATGGCTGAAATCAGGAGCAAAGAGTGTTGGCAAGGATGTGGAGAAGTGGGAACCCTCATACATTGTTGGAGGGATTGTAAAATGGTACAGTCAGATTGGAAACTAGTCAGGCAGTTCTTCAAAATTTGACCCAGGGATTCTACTCCCATTTATATATCCAAGAGAAACAAAAATATGTTTCCATGAAACAACTCAAAATGCTCATCAACTGATGAATGGATAAAGAAAACAGAACATTCATATAATGGAATGTCATTTGGCACTAAAAAGGAATGATATATGCTACAACGTGTATGAACCTTGAAAATGTTAGGATAGGAAAATGAGGCCATTACAAAGAACATCTGTTATATGATTGCATTTGTATGAAATGTCCAGAATAGGCAAATATAGAGATAATATATAGATTAGTAGGAGTTGTATAAAGCTAAGGAAGATGGAGTGGTAGCCAAAGGGTATGATCTTTCTTCTGGGGGTGATAAAAACATCTTAAAATTGATTGTGATAATTGCATAACTCTGTGAATGTACTAAAAACCACTGCATTGTACACTTTCAAGTGGGTGAACTGTAAATGAATTATATTTCTATAAAAGTGTGAAAAAAATTCATGTATGAATAAAGGAATCTAATTACAGAAACAAAATAAGGAGGGTATATGAAAGTATTGGGTTTTTAATAGAACTATATTGAAAGTTACAAAATCTAAAGTAAACTAGTTTGTAATAAACTCTTAAAAGATATTTGCATTTATTGAAATTAAATTTTATGTTTTTGCAAAGATGTAACTTTCCTTACAGGAGGAATATATTTAATCTAAAACCATATAGTTATAGATATGACTCAGATGTCAACATAAAGGGCATAAGTGAAAAAAGATAATTAATAGTTATAAAATATTAAAAGAAATTGCAATAGCCTTACAAAGCTATGAGAGGGTAGTTTATGAAATTTCAAACTATAAGTTCGCAACATATGAATTATTATTCCACTAACTATATATATATATAGGCCACAAGTGTATCTCTTATAAAACTGTACTTATGAGTATATATGCCAAGATGTATGGGACTTATAAACAGAAAAGATTCAAAGATACCTTTTACTAAATTCAACAAATTTGGTTTCAGAATGAATATTTTTTTTTATTATGGCAAACACAGTATCATGTTTAGAAACTTTGATAGACAGAAAATAGTTGAGTCATATATATTCCTTTGCTATTTTCACATCTAATTTTACTTAAAGTATTAACATTACACATAAAAAAACCCAATAATTTTAATAAGAAATTGTTCAGTTTTACTTGCAACTTTGAGAGCCAAAATTCTAATACATATTGGAATCTAAAAGCTATTGGGAAATAGCAATAATAGAGACTACATATTTTAAATATTGGACAAATGAAGAGAGCATATATTGAGATATAAATCGAAAGTATTTTCTAAAAGATTCTTAAATATACAGAATTAGTAATGTATGTTCTTTCAATATTCAAGCATTAAAAATGAATTTACCAAAAAAATCAACTTATATACAATTTAAAAAAAACCTACCAAATGAAAAAAAAGAGAGGCACTACTTTTATCACAAAAGGCATCCAAATGTTTTAACAGTTTAAAAGTAAAAAGGGTCCAAAACAATTGACTCCTTAGAAACAAAGCTTCTATTTATTAAGATGGCTATTCAAGAAATTATTATAATCTATTTTATGCACATTTTTCAGTCACAAATTTTATCACACTTTGCCTTCCATTTCTATTGCTTTTTGAATCAATATGGAAGAGTGTTACAACATTGAGCCTACTGGTAATTTGAATTAATATTCTGAAAGAAAAATGCTGTATATACATAGAAAATAATGAAGAAAAAGTTAGTGCTAAAGAACAATACATACTCAGATTGTAAAACTCTACCAGGTTAATAAAAAAAAAAAACAAGATGCAGATGGTGAAGTTAGAAAAAACACAAACCAACTGAGTCAATATTACAATTACTTTATCAAGTAGTTTTATTTGTTGGCTGGTTTGGCATTTGGGTAGATAAATAAATTAATTAAGGAGGCTAGAAATCCTTAACAAAGATTTATTACTGAATTGAAGCTAGTAGTAACAATAAAAGAGGAAAGATTTTTTTAACAAAAATCTTTTTAGGTTTTTTTTGTTTGTTTTTGTAGTGCTGAGGATAGAAACCAAGGCTTCATGCATGCTAGACAAGTGTTCTACCACTGAGCTACAGCCCTAGCTCCAATCTTTTATTATTAATAAGGAAAAAGTTACCATCATTTTCTTAGAAAAAAGAAAACATGCAATATTTTGGAGAAAATAAAAAAAAAGTAAACTTAGAAATACAGAAGTTAAGGCACTTATTTCAATGGGTTTGCAAAATCCAGGGCAAGGTATATATTGTATTTCTCTGAGAAATCCCTTCCATCCAAAACCCATTAACTTTGATCCTTTAATAGATTAAAAAAAAAATACTTTCTTTTAGTTGTAGATGGACAAATACCTTTATTTTGTTTATTTCTTTTTATGTGGTGCTGAGGATCGAACCCAGGGCCCTGCATGTGCTAGACAAGCTCTCTACCGCTGATCCACAACCTCAGCCCCTTTAATAGATCTTTATTGTCAAACATAACAGCCATAAGCTACCAAAGTATAATTACTTGCAGAATTGTTAATTTTTATTACTCTACAAATAAGGAAATAATTAAATCCTTCCAATACAAAGTTTTCTACTACTATTGTTTTAAATACAAATATTTGAAGCAAATACAGTACAGTTGAAGCAAATAAGTTTCTCTCTCATATTACTTTTCTCTTTCAATTTATGCTGAATGAAAAATTCATTATTTAAAAATTTTGATTAAAAATTTCTTCAAGTCTATTTTATTTAAGAATTTAGTTGACAGAAGCAAAAAGCAACTAACATAGAAAACAAAATAAAACACAACAACCCAAACTAATTCAGAATGTAATCATAATATATATCAATAAAAATTCAATTAAATATTTCACACTACATAGAAAGTAGGGTGTCTGTGTTCTCTTCAAAATTTGCAAGCTGGCTTTTAAAGTACAATGTTTTACATGCTCTAATCACAAGAACTACCATGTACTATTCACTGTGTACTTACATAACTGTGGTAATATTTTCATAAAGCTTGATGTTAAATATGAGTGACTCACTACTAAATGTACAAAGTCAATCTGAAATATGTTTCCTGGTTATCATAACATAGTTAAAACAATTATATACAATAATGAAATGAGAACCAATGAAACTAAAACATCAGATATGACACTACTGTCAAATAATTCTTAAGCTCCAATGAAGCAAAGCATTCTAGTATTACTCTAAGAATGCATGTACTTAAAAAAAAAAATATATATATATATATATATATAACATGTATATATGTGTGTGTATAAAAACAGAAAATAAAGACAATGGAAAATAGTCCCTTCTAATGTAGTAATTTAGAATTCTGAAAATGTAATTTATACAGTCCTCTAACAAGTGAAAAGTTGAAAACCTGTTCATTGAACAGGTGGTATACAAGGTAAAAGTGAAAATGTACTCATCTTATCAAAATGATACATCTATACTAAATCTTCTTAAAAAGGTCAAATTAATTCTTTTAGAATTTATTTTATTTTTTGGTACTGGGGATTGAACTCAGGGGCACTTGACCACTGAGCCACATCCCGAACACTATTTTGTATTTTATTTAGAAACAGGGTCTCACTGAGTTGCTTAGCACCTCACTTTTGCTGAGACTGGCTTTGAACTCCTGATCCTCCTGTCTCAGCTTCCTGAGCTGCTGGGATTATAGGTGTGCGCCACTGTGTCAGGTTTAGAGTTTATTTTAATAAAAGATTACAAATATTAAAATACTCAAAGGAACAAAGTATTTATGCTGTAAAACTGTGTTGTAAATTTTATTATAACTGTCATTTTGTTCTTAATGATGAAAATCATACCACAGTTTCTTAAATAACATTGCTTGGGTTCTATAATAAACATATCTGTATGCAGAGGTATGTTTAACAGCATCTGCATATATATATGTGTGTGTATATACACACACTTCATAAAGTTGGTGCGTGCTCACTGTAGTGTACATATTCTAATTCTGACAAAGTTTTTACTTAATACTTCCATAGAAACCATGTGAATAGATTGCATACCCTAAATTCGTATTTTTAAAAAAATTCTAAACATTCTTTTCAAGGTCTATTTAAAAAAAATATACATATATGTAACAAAAGTTACTGTTTTATCATGATTTAAGTGTTATCAAATTAAAGGACATAAGTGAAAAAAGATAATTGTTTTAATAGTTATAAAATAACAAAATGCAATAACATGCGCCTGTATTACAAAGAAAGTGTTCACTTGTATAAGCAGCAGAAGATGAAAGCAGTATCATGGCAAATTTAGGATATATTTATGTATATCCTTGAAAATCACTTTCTTTTATATAATTTCCACTTTAATTTAAATTTACATATTTTCAACTAACATTTAAATTAGTTTTTATTGTCAAATTTTAGTTGCTATAAGCCATTCAACAAATACCTTCAGAAAGTTGAAGAATAATCTTTCCTTGTATTATATAACTATATCACATTAAGTATTAATTAAATATTACATTTGAGACATAGGACAAATTCAAATTCAAGATCAATATTATGATAGAAAGATTCATGGGGAAACTTGCAATAGGTAAATCTTTAAACACTATGTAATACTAAGGAAAAAACCTGCCTGGAATATTGCAGAGTGATAGATTTGACATTTTTCTGTTTCCCACAAAATCCTGGACTCAGTTAACAGCAGGAGGGAAAAAGGAGCAGCAGCATTTCAAATGTTCATACTCTGATTTGCAACAGATACCATATAGGTAAAAGAAAATCTCATTTTACTTCAGGTGGCATAAGTCTTTGAAATGAAGGCTCTATTATTTTTCAAGATTGGAAGGATATCACAGTGTTGATTTTATAAACAAAATAGGATCTGTTCCAGTATACTCTAGTAAAATAATTCACATATGGAGAATAGTTAATTTTGACCTCATGACAAAATCGTCCATATTTTGAGTAGGTTAACTTGTCACCTTCTTCACAAACCACCTATCAAAAGATAAAAAAAAAAAAGTAAAACATTAAAAAGCTTGTTAAACTTGAAGGAGAAATGTAATCCATGTATAAATGACCAGTTACATGAAAAAAAAATTCTAAACATGGACTGTCAGATATGTCCCATGTTAGCAAACACAAGCCTCTTCATAAGTGACTCACCATGCCCACTAAATGCTTTAACTTTCATCAGATTATGAAAGTATAAATTATCTCCAATTTTTAAAAGATTTAATCCTAAAACTTGGCAAGTGTTGTTTTTTTAATTCATTATCATTGTTCTGAAGAATCATACCATCGAGACTACTAAGGCTGAAAAATGAACATATCATACTCCTAATGTATATTCAAACTCTTCTTGTGCAGAGTCATAATTATTCAGTAAGCAAGTAAGTCTACAGAAACTTATCTACAAAAGTGCAAACCTTTATATTCTTATCTAATGATGTTTACTAAAACAGCTTAACTCACTTGAATTTTTTTAAAATTTACTCTTATGTGGTGCGGAGGATCAAACCTGGTGCCTCAACATGTGAGGCAAGTGCTGTACCACTGAGCTACAGCCCCAGCCCCTTGACTTTTATTTTTAATAATAAAATACTAAATATTATTCTAATGCCTTTGGAAAGATGACAGAGAGACAACTTTAAAAATAAAAGAATGGATTAGCTTAAGTCTATGCAGGACATTACATAAAAGACATGGCTAAATCTTTAAAACACAGCATCCAAGAGCAGAATAGAAAGGCTACACACAGCAATAATTATTGAATAATAATACTAACTTACATTTCCCTGTCACAATAAATCAAGTATCAATAAAGAAAACTCAAGGGGCTGGGGATGTGGCTCAAGTGGTAGCGCGCTCCCCTGGCATGTGTGCGGGCCGGGTTTGATCCTCAGCACCACATACAAACAAAGATGTTGTGTCCGCCGAAAACTAAAAAATAAATATTAAAATTCTCTCTCTCTCTTAAAAAAAAAAAAAAGAAAGAAAACTCAAAATGGTGCAGGGGCTGGGGATGTAGCTCAGTTAGTAGAGTATTTGCCTCGATGTATCAGGTCCTGGGTTCAATCCCCAGCACCACACACACACACACACACAATATGTATGGAACATATAAATGGTGGAAGTTTATAATGCAAGCTTAAGGGTCGTAAAAAAAAAAAGATGGAAATCTCTAAAACTAATTTTTATTCTCCAACCTGGTCTTGGATGGTATAACAAAGAGCTATGATTATTTAGGAAGGGACAGAAAAAAAATCTTGGCTGCAACATAAACAGAATATGCACTACATCATAGGACAACCTGCTAAGCTTTTCCTGAAGCCCCCTCTCTCCACTTTTCTCAGGAGCAAAGGCATTCATTCTAGCCAACACTAATTATCAGATATACAAACTCCCCTGTCAGTCTTCTTGCTTAACGGATATAGTACATCCACTGCAGGCTGAGAAGCAAGTAAGTTTGGAAAAATAGCTGAAATTTATGTAAAAAATTAAGATCCAGCTAGATCCTACCAATTAAAGTAGCACTGAATACATTAATTTTTGTGGATAACGAGGACTCATTAAATAGGCACTGTTTGATTTAGCAACCATCTTTTTCTAGATATGAATCAAGTTACTTGAAACAATGCAACCAGAGGCTCTTTAATTTTTATTTTTTCATTTTGCATCTGTCTTCTTTTTTTCCTTTTTAAAAAATTTATATATGACAGCAGAATGCATTACAATTCTTATTATACATATAGACCACAATTTTTCACATCTCTGGTTGTATACAAGGTATATTCACACCAATTCGTGTCTTCACACATGTACTTTGGATAATAATGATCATCATGTTCCACCATCATTTCTAACCCTATGCCCCCTCCTCCCTTTCCCTGCAACCCCTCTGTCCTATCTAGAGTTCGTCTATTCCTCCCATGCTCCCTCTCCCTATCCCACTATGAATCTTATACCAAAGAAAACATTCAGCATTTGTTTTTTTGGGATTGGCTAACTTAGCATTATCTTCTCTAACTCTATCCATTTACCTGCAGATGCCATAATTTTATTCTATTTTATTCCTGAGTAATATTCTATCGTGATATATGCCACATTTTTAAAAATCCATTCATCTACTGAAGAGCATCTAGGTTGACTCCACAGTTTAGCTATTGTGACTTGCGTTGCTATAAACATTGATGTGGCTGTGTCCCTGTAGTATGCTGTTTTTAAGTCCTTTGGGTATAGGCCAAGAAGAGGGACAGCTGGGTCAAATGGTGGTTCCATTCCCAGTTTTTCAAGGATTCTCCATACTACTTTCCATATTGGCTGCACCAATCTGCAGTCCCACCAGCAATGTATAAGCGTACCTTTTTCCCCCACATCCTTGCCAACACTTATTGTTGTTTGTATTCTTAATAGCTGCCATTCTGACTGGAGTGAGATGACATCTTAGAGTAGTTTTTATTTGCATTTCTCTAATTGCTAGTGATGATGAACATTTTTTCATATATTTGTTGATTGATTATATATCATCATCTGAGAAGTGTCTGTCCAGGTCCTTGGCCCGTTTATTGACTGGATTATTTGTTTTTTTGGTGTTTAACTTTGTGAGTTCTATATATATATGTGTGTGTGTGAGGGGTAAAAATCTATTCCCAATCCTCACAGATTTTTCTTTTGCTGAGAAGAACCTTTTTTTCCTCTATTAGATGCAGGGTCTCTGGTTTTATTCCTTAAGTCTATGATCCACCTTGAGTTGAGTTTTGTGCATGGTGAGAGATAGTGGTTTAATTTCATTTTGTTGCATACAAATTTCAACTTTTCCCAGCACCATTTGTTGAAGAGGCTATCTTTTCTCCAATGCATGTGTCTAATATAAGATAATTGTAATTTGTGGGTTAGTCTCTGTCCTCTATTCTGTACCATTGTTCTACCAGTCTGTTTTGGTGCCAATACCATGCTGTTTTTGTTACTATTGTTCTGTAGTATAG